CCCGTTTCGTTACGTTTCTTAAACTTTTTCAAATGCGTGTGCAGCACCCCGTGGAGGCGTGTTCTGTGCCGGCCTCGCGGTTTTCTTTGCCCACTTTGCTGTCCCCCCGTGCCCCATGCGATGCCGATACCCTTACTATCGTACTTATGAAGCACGAAAGACATGGTCTACCCCGTCGGGCCATTTCCCAGTTGATTGCTATTCCATCGTCCTACTTCTTTGGTTACCCTGTCTTGTGCGATCCTCTATTCTTCTGCGGTTCGACTGGTGCCCTCCTGGGTCGTACACACATTGGTGCTAGGACTCAGTATGGCGCTCGGGGGTCCCTCCTGTCTCGGGAAGTGCTCTCTCCCCCCTCTCCCCGCTCCTTCAGAAAGTTTTTCCGCCCCCCCGCCGACGTCCTGGGCGACGGGTCATAATTTCCTGTGCTTGTAATAGGTCTGCCGTCCACGGTGTCCCCCACCGCACTTCCCCCGCACAGTTTGTGGCGCCTATTGAGGGAACGGACCTTAGGGCGGGTGCTCTTTCGGGGGGCCCTTCCCCCCCCTTCCTTCGCTTTTCCGCGCCGCCCATCTTTGTCCCGAGTTACCGGGGCGCTTGGGCTCGGCGTGCGCTCTGGGGAAACCCATGCCGCCCGCCCACCCGCCTGCCTCCGGGGGCGGGGCAAAGGCTCGCCCCGCCCATGCCTGTAGCCACACCCCCTGTGCCCGTGGCTCTGGGGAATGCTGCGGCCCTTCAAAAGGGAAAGAAACGCGTTTTTGGAAAATAACTGGGCTGTGGGCCTTGGACCAGCGAACCAACGAATCATAATGCCCATCTTTCCTATACGTGCGTCCTCGAATGTTTCATATGAATTATTTCCCCCAAGTTTCAGCTGGGGAAACAGGTTCAGGGAGATAAAGAGGGGTCCCTTGTCCTACCTAGATTCTAATCCGGATCTGCTGGACTTCGGCTTGACCGTGCTCTAAATGAATGTGCTGTAATCATAACAAACTTTTGATATTCTTGCGTGGATCCTGTGCCAGGCACTTTACTTATGGTTTTCTCACCTATAAAAGGAGGATAACAATAGCTCTCCCTATTACATTAAATAGGATAGATATTACTATTACTGCATTGTTTTCAACCACCACACACAGGTCCCGCAGGGCCTGGAAGATGGTTGGGATTTTATCTTACATGTGCTCAGAGGCATTATCCAAGTTCAAGTGCCCAACAGAGGTTAAGTTTTCTGTGCTTCAGTTCGGGGAACAGAGAAGCACTTTTCTTTTCTAAAAGATCACTCCTAATATTTCTCAGATCTGGCTCCTTCTCTCTGTCTCCTCGGCCACAGTCCCAGTCCACGTCTGCCCTGTGGCTCCTAACTGTTCTCCTAGCTCCGCCCTGGCCCTGAGAATGTGAACATCAGCTCCCATGACACTCAGACCTTGATAGACAGTTTCCCACATGTTAGGTGGAAGGCAGACACCACAGCTGCACAGATGATTGGTGCCGTTCTTATGAATGACTATTGCTTTCTTATCAATGACATCCCAGCCCTTCTGTTTTTCTTTCTCCTGATCAAAGATGATTAAGATGTTGTGTGTGGGGGTGGGGGAGAATTAAAAGCTCCTGCCAATCCAGTAAGTCCTCACCACAACTCTACCAAAGAAGAACAGTTTTATTATGAACAAGCATTAAACTAGACTGTGGTGTACATCACAGGTGATCTGCTAACGAGATTACAAAGGCAGAGGGAAATCCTACCCTTTTTAAACACAGCCAAGCATTGCATTACACACATGCTCTAGAGATTCATGATAACTTGCCTAGCTCAGCCTACGCTGACTTGGTAGTTGGGGTACCCACTGTGTTATGTAATTGCTCTTGTCTCCAGGGATAATACAGCTTCTCATTTTTATGACAAGCAGGTGATTACAGTTCGGAACAGGGCACTCGGGCTGCACTCCCACATACAGGGACATAGAGACACTACCTGCCTAGAAATTTCATCTCAAGGAGCTGGTTCCCAGGACCTTAAAAAAAAAAATTCCTGCCCAGCCTGCGTGGCTCAGTGGTTGAGTGTCAACCTGTGAACCAGGAGGTCACAGCTCTATTCTCAGTCAGGGCACATGCCCGGGTTTCGGGCTCAATCCCCAGTGTGGGGTGTGCAGGAGGCAGCCGATCAATGATTCTCTCTCATCATTGATGTTTCTCTCTCTCTCTCTTTCTCTCTCATCAATAAAAAATATTTTAAAAAGAAACTTCCTGGGTTGTCATACTGGCATGAGGCTTATTTATTTAAGACCTGTAAACTGTAGTATATTCATACAATGGGATATTATTCAGCCATAAAAAGGAATGGAGCACTGATACAGGCTACAATGTAGCTAAACCTTGAAAACATGATGCTGAGTGAAAGAAGCCAAACAGGAAAGGACAAATATTGCATGATTCCATTTTCATGAAATATCTAGAATAGGAAATAGAGACAATGTAGATTCTAGGTTGTCAGAGGCTGGGGGCGGGGGGGGGGCGGTAAGAATGGGGAGTTATTGCTTAATAGGGACACAGTTTCTGTTCAGGAAGGTGGAGAAAGTCTGGAGAGAGATTGCTAGTCAACGCTGTGAATGTCCTTAATGCCGCTCCATTGTATTCTTTTGTGGTTAGTCCTCAACCCAGGATATTTTTCCATTGATTTTTAGAGAGAGTGGAAGGGATGGGGAGAGACACAGAGAGAGAAACATCGATTGGTCGCCTCCTGCATAAGCCCCGACCAGGGCCTGAGATCGAGCCTGTAATGGAGGCGCCTGCAAAGGAGGCACCTGCCCCCAAATGGAATCGAACCCGGGACCTTTCAGTCCGCAGGCCTGAGCCAAACTGACCGGGGCTTCAATTGCATTCCTAAAAATAGTCAAGTAGAAAATTTTCTGTTATATCTGTTTTACCAACATTTAAAATAACAGCACACACAAAATAGGTTTGCACACCCATCAAAGACAGGAATGACTCTCACACAATTTCTCCAGGAGATGCTCTAAGAACGAGAGGAGGGATGGCTGTCTTTGCCCTGTGGCCACAGGGAAAGTTCTGTTTTAAAATTTACCCCACGGTACCCTCTTGCTGAACAGCCAGCCGTATTCAGCTGTTCATTACCCTAGCACTTGCTGAAATCAGCTAACCCAGCCAGAACCCTAGAGCAGTGGTCGGCAAACTGCAGCTCAGCAAACCGCGGCTCGCGAGCCACATGCGGCTCTTTGGCCCCTTCAGTGTGGCTCTTCCACAAAATACTGGCTCTTCCACAAAATACCGACTTCTGTGCATGGGCCATGAAGTTTCAATTGCACTGTACATGCGCGCCCACACATGGTATTTTGTGGAAGAGCCACACTGAAAGGGCCAAAGAGCCGCATGTGGCTCGTGAGCCGCGGTTTGCCGACCACGGCCCTAGAGCAATCCCCTCCTGCTTCCACGGACCCAGCCCTCCACAGTGTCGCCAGGTGCCCCGCCCGCTGCGGCAAGCCCAGAAACCCACCCTCGAGGACTATGGCGTGTCTCCTACGATCTTTGACAGGAGATTAAACATTCGTGCCCCATAAGGTCTCCACAATCCAGCCAGAGAGACCATTTCAACTCCCTCGGGATCCTCACTAGCTTTCCTTAGTTTCCAAATAAACAAAAACATCCTCTCTCTTCTGGTCCATCTTCCCAGGCTCTTCCTCCACCCGACCCCGAGGGACTTTGGGGATCCATTGCGTTCCCCTGGAGGCCTGGCTTCCCAGCTCCTTTAGGTCTCAGCTCACACCCCTGCCTGCAGAAACACACGTCCGCTGACCACAGGCCCTGCCCCGCACCCTCCTAGGACCCCTTCTTTTCATTCAGTCCACATGCCCAAGTTGCCGTAATATGCGTGCCCTGGACTCCTGCGTTCACCCACCAGCACGGCCAGGCCTAAGTCAATGGGAGAGCGTTTGTGCAGGATGAGAACAGAAGGCGCCTGGGGTGGGGTCTTGCAAGGGAGGGGCCTGAAGTTTAGCTTCCTTAGCTCCAGGGCCCATGGGTCTCTGTCTATAAAATGCAAACCCAGTGAAAGCCGGGCCCCTGTCCGATTTTGCTCAGATACGGTATTTATTGCATGTCCTGGCTAGGTGAGAGGGTCTCCTATGGAGACAGTCTGCAGTCCAACTAAGCCCCCGCCAACGCCTTCAGGGACACGGCTTGCGGCTCGCTCCCACCTTCCTCAAGTCTCCCGAGAGTCACCTTATTGATGAGGCCTTCCCTGACCACCCTCTTTACTCTGTCACTCTGCCCTGCTTTGTTCTTCTCCAAAAATACTCATCACCATCTAACATCCTCCTTAAAAAAAACAAAAACCAGCTGATGGTTTCTCTCCTTCCAGGAGAGTGCAAAGGAATCCTGGC